GAGAGAGAGAGAGTGAAAGGTCACGACGATATCAAAATCGTCGAAAACCGGAATTTCAACACGGAAAGAATAATCTTACTAAACATCTGGCTAGATATAAATCTGAAAAGAATTTTTCTTGGGAGAAACAATTACGTAAGACGTTCAAACTCGTTATTGGAATATAAAAAAGTTTTTATAGCACTGTCATCGTGCTCAAGCGTCCTACATAATTATTTCGATTTTGGTTGGATTTCGAAATAAAATTATTTTCAGATCTACTGGTCTGGCTAAATTTTTTTTAACACCTTACCCAAAATCGTTTCTTTCGCGCGTAAATCGATTTCGCTTACCATACTAAATATGTGAGCATAAAGCTCGCGAGTATTCCGAGGCCGCAAGATCGCTTGGGATACTGCCGTGGTGCGACAATCATCTCGAGCACGGTCGTCACCACGATCATCGTGTGCATTAAATGGTTCAACCACCATGGGAAGTACGGGTCCAGCGCTTTCGGCAATACCAGCTCACGATCCACCAACATCAACGCCCAAAAAGTCACGCCAACGAACTGCGATACACAGAATCGGCATTACATCCAAATTTAACAATTTTTGTTATAAATAATATTTTCGCGCGCACGCGAATAGAAAATTATATAAAACCTGACACATTCTATCAAAATCTACCTATTCTATCTATTTAGAAAAGAGATACCGAGAATAGAAATTTCCTATCGAAAAAGAGTCCACAGTTAAGGATTTGCTCAAGAAAATTATCGTGAAGAAATATTTAAATTTAGGGGACGAATGTTTCGGTGCTAAAAGTTATAGATATACAAATAAAGTATCTTCTTACAATTATTAATAAATTTTATTTCTTGAGTATCCAACAGGTTTCCGTTGAATTACAGAATTTAGCAAAGAATTTGTACTTCAAACTCCGCCTTGAGAAATACTTTTAGAATAGATACGTTAAATAATAAATTTGTACAATATATTATACTTGAAAACGCAATACGTCACACGATTCGCAGAAGCGAGATCGATTCTTCTTACATCTCGAGAACTTTTTCTGTTCTTCTCACACTCGAAGAATTACAAATTGATAACAATTCACTGTATATTTAGACTATCGACTTTCTCGATTTGACGCGGATTTGTGGCACCGGAAAAAAATGCAAAAAAGACAAAAGATTAATTATGCTACTCACCATGGCAATGGGAAATCCGAGACTCGCATGGAAATAATCCTTCAACTTCCGTGTGAAGGGCGGCTTTTTGGGGTTTACAGCGTTTGTACCGAACAGATCGTTCAGGAGACATATTAGAAAGAATAGCGTTTGTAAAATCTGAAACACAAATGACAATTCAATGTGCTTTAATTAGCAAGTCCGATAAATATTTTTAACGACTGCCGGAGTAACTATAAATATAAATATATAACTATAAATATCGCTTATTTATTAAAGTTACTTATTGCTACTATTGTTACATGCTACTATTGTTACGATAGGATTTATATGCACTAATAAATATATGAACAAACAATGTGAATTTTAAATAGACGTTTATAAAGCGAGCGTTTATAAATTTTATTATTTGCTGCATCTTATTTTCACTACTTACAATTTAGTGTAAAAGATAAGCGTTTAGCTTTTACATAAACTACTACCATTACTACTATTACTACTGTAATGTAAGCACATATTTTGTTATTTATCTTTTCTGTTCGAAGAAATAAATTAAAAAACGCTATTTATGTTCATATTTAAATCGATTTTTACTGCCTTTGACTTGACACAAATTATTATTTACATAATATTTGGATTGATCCGTATACTGATTAGATAAAAATAATACTTAACGCGACAAGGAATACAATTACTTGGCGAATAGTTTGCATTCTCAATACGCAAGTTGTTATACATGCTGTACACATACGTAGCATTAACAACAATTTTAAATAGCAATTGTCAAACACCAGAAATTTAAATATTTCATTCCGAATATCGATGTATATTTAACATACACATGTAATGAAATTTTACTTTTAAAAAGAAAAGAGAAAAAATTTTCGAAAGTGTACTTTGCATTTGGCATTTACATTCTTTTAAGCCTGCCATTTAACTTCTTTTTAAGTTACTTTTTAAGTTACATCGAGTTCTTCCGATATCTTTTAATTTACAACACTCACATATCGAACACATCTTTGAATTGATAATGGATAACAATGTTTTTCATAGATTATTGTACGATTCGTATGTATTTTTTTTTTTTTTTTTTTAATATTTAGCTCTAATATTGATATTTTAAGACGTCAAATATTGATCTGTCGGAAACACTTATTCAATATCAGCTGTTTAAGGTTATCACGTGTCAATCGAGCAATGCTGTATGTCTCGTGTAAATCATCTCGAGTGACACTTGGATGCGTTGACAATTCAAGAGGAAGTGACTAATTATCCACGCTCCTGTCGATATCAATACTAATTAACACCTAGATCGAAGTTTTTCTTTGAGGAAGAAAATAAAAATCTCACGAAAGAGCTGTCACGATCATTTTAAAGCTTTACTTATTTTTAATCACCGCCACAATAGTGGCGATGATCCAATAATTGGAAAATGAATGGGTGAGTCTGAGATTAATCTAAAAATCTTAGCTTGTTGATTTTCTTCGTTTTGCTGGACGAAATGATTAAGCCGAGTTGAATGAACGTCCCAGCGTAATTATCGATTACCGACGCTGCATACAAGCAGCCTTGCACGACACGCGCCTCCATTTCGCCGCATAATATAAAGTGGTGCTTAAATAATTGAATTTTGCTCTTTACGAGCAGTTTGAATGGCGGCAATTCAAGCGTGAAATGCTCGAGAGTGTGTCATCGCTCGGCGATAAGTGGCAAAATGCTCGAACGTAATCTCGTCGAATTTAGATCACGCTTTTGACTCAACGAAACGAAGACTGAATGGAACCGAGAAGTACACACTCGTCCCCCCCTAACAAGCGTATTTTTGAATCACTCGTGAAAGATAAATACCAGCGGAAAAATAAACAACTCCGACGTGTCGTATCCGTGCTGAACGTGTGCACCGTTCATTCACCGGTGTAGACTTAGAAGATTAAAGCCTTATGTCCATTTCCGCTAGATTAGATTAATACTAATTTCAGTTTAATTGTTTATCTTTATCTAATTATCTTTATCTAATTAACTTTATCTTTTTCTAAAACTCTTTTTTCTCAAAACAAGATGGAAAATAAATTAAGCCGAGATTAAAGTTAATTTACATTAGTGGAAATGTAGTCATTTTGACAGTTTTATTCTTCTTACTGCAATAAACACATATAGACTCAGTGCAGATTTTTTTACGAGATAATAAATGAAGAAGTTGCACGATTCATCAAATTAGATAACATTTTTATTATACTGAACAATCAAAGGAAATTGTTGAGATCGTTATTTTACAACAAGTACATGAAACGAAATGAATTGAATATTGCAATATTGCAAAAGAAAATTGTCAGCAAAAAGAAATATATTTACAATCTGTAAAAATAAATATGATAAAAAAGTCAAAAATTTGGCAAATTATATAGATTTATTATTTAAAAGATCGACGCAGATAACTGTTTTTGAAAAAATTAAATTAAAATTTTTTATATATTTTATATATTCATAATTACAATTAATGTTAAAAAATGTGATTAATAAAGCATCGATTACAATATAGTAAAAATATTTATATTATATTATAATAATATTATAATATATTAGGTGTACAAAAAAGTTCTGAGCTTTAGATTTCATACAACCGAAATAACAATTTAAATTTTATATATCTTCTCAACCTTTTACGGTTTTAAAGCGTTGACGTTTGGCCTTCTAAAATGCCATACGGTTTGGCGTTTGATGCACATAACCTCAAAAATCAGTAGTGTTCACGATACGCAATAACAAAAGAGCATATTCGATTTTCCATCCACTTCGCGTTTCATCTGAAGAAAAATGCTGCTGAAGTCACTGCAATGATTTGTGCTGCATATGGAGAGAACGCTGTAAGTCATACTATATGTAAAAGATGGTATCAAAAATTTCGCCAAGGAGATTTCAGTGTTGAAGATGAACCGCGTGCTGGACGCCCTCAAAAGATTGAAACGGACGAATTGCAAGCACTGCTGGATATAACTCTGCGCAAACTAAAAAGGAGCTTGCAGAACAGCTTGGCGTTACGCAGCAAACCATTTTCGTACGTTTACATACGATGGGAAAGGTTCAGAAGGAAGGCGTGGGTTCCGCATGAATTGTCCGAAGACAACAAAAATCGTCGGCGTGACACTGCACTCACTTTGCTTTCAAAGTTCCGGAAAAAAGATTTTCTGCACAAAATCATTACAGGCGATGAAAAGTGAATTCTTTATGATAACCCTAAACGTAGAAAATCATGGGTTAACCCTGGTCAATCTTCGACATCGACGCCAAAGCCCAATATCCACGCCAAGAAGGGTTTGCTCTGTATCTAGTGGGATTGGAAAGGTGTGTTGTATTACGAGTTGTTACAACCGGGTGAAACAATCACGGCAGATCGCTACCAACAACAATTGACTAATTTGCGCGATGATTAGAAGAAAAGAAGCCATTTACTGGCCAAGGACGTCGTAAAGTGATCTTGCTTCATGACAATGCTCGACCATATGTTGCGAAAGCGACTCAGGACTATATCTTTGCGTTAGGCTGGGAACTTCTCCCGCACGCGGCGTATAGCCCAGACATGGCGCCTTCCGATTACTACCTATTCCGGTCGCTGCAGCATCATTTGACTGATGACACATTTCGTGAGATTTGAAGAGATACGAAAATGTATTGACGACTTTATCGCTTCGAAGCCGGTGAGCTTCTATCGTCAAGGAATTCGCAAGCTACCCGAAAGATGGTAAAAGATCGTTAATGCAAACGGGAAATATTTCGCTGATTAATATTTTTTTGTTTGCTTTTGAATAAAGATTGAATTTTACAAAAAAAAGCTCAGAACTTTTTTGTACACCTAATAGTAAAAATTTTGGCAATCTGTATTTCTACGTTATACAATCAAGTCCCTTTTGTAATATTTATTCTTACAATTTCATACATCTATATTCACATTCTCTTTTTGTTAATAAAAATAATAATTTTCTTTAGCACGACGTTCAATTCATTTCATTCTGTCCATTCATTACGAAATAACGGCCATTTAGTCTCAACAACTTCCCGGTTATCACTTCTGCGTGTGTGTCACATATCGAAGGAAAAATTTTTTTACAATTAGCGATTGCACCGATAATGATTATCGATTATCATCGGCAGAGCCCCTTTTTCACGTTGTCGCAATTCGAAGAGCATTATATCACATGTTACTTATGATTTTTGTGACCTCTCAGGCACATATATATGTTAGGTGGACGTGTCGGTTTTCACTATTATGCAACATGGTAATAAGGATACCATTGCGTACACTGACGTACTATGATCACACAGAATAAATTTTTTTTTTTAAGAACATTAGAATTTCTCATTATCTCGTAACGTTCTTTTACAAAAAGTCAAACATTTTTTTTCCTCGCAAAGAACACGAAGAAATCACTACAGGATGAGTATACTCAGATCTTGATTAATGATTACTGCAGTACGTAAGAGGAAGCTGCATGTAAGATTTTTCTAATATAATCTAAACTTAATGTCTCATGGCATGCAGATGTAATTAATTTTTGCGGATATAAACAAATCCAAGGAAAATGACATTTAAAAGGGAGCTAACGAAATCACGTTACGACGATTTCTGTCGAGTTTCAAAGCAGATTGGATGGACTTTGGTTACATTATCATTCACGTCGATGTAAATCTCCCCGTCAAATTCGTTCGTGATGGCAATTTTGTCGAAAAAAAAAAAAATTTCATCGCCTTCGTTTCCTTCTGTTCGTCGTAACGGAATCTCATTGTCGGCGAGGGGATCAATACGGAGGAGTGTGCACGGGGATGCGTTTGTGCTCGTCTGTCTGCAGCGTGCATGCGGAGGGAACGGACACCGACACCAAGGGACAAAGACTTCGCAGGCTCATCAATCAAACAGAGCGCACTCAAAACCGGAGCGGCTGTGAGCGCGCCGATACTAACCGCATCCCAGAACGTTAGGAACTTGAATTTTCCACCGAAGGCGCTGTGCATCCTCGTGACATTGTGCGGCACGATTGTGTACGTGTAATCGTAAAAAACCGCGAAAGCGTACTGCAGAAAAGTGATCGCGTGGAATCCGATCGCTAGGCCTTCTCGCATCTCACGGCCGTTCACGGAATCAGTCTGAAACGTGTAATTTACCTCCTTTGGAGACGGAGACATCCGGCAAAGACACCCGCGATGACAAGCAAGCAAAAAACGGGAACTAGCGCGCATTCTCGTTCAATCTTGCATTTCTCTCTCTCTCTCTCTC